AATACAGAGGGATTTAAAGTATGTCAAGCTCTACCTGGCTCAGATGATAGAAGGCTGCAAACACATTAATTTACCTTGAAATAGATCACAAAAGGTCAAAATAGCTGCCAGATACAGTTAGTCTTCAATTTAAGCTCAGAAAAGCGAACCTTGTCACTTCTGTGCAAGAAAGGTAAGATGATGATGTCCCGTTCCTCACTAGGTTTGCCTGCATTACCACCTCTTTCTTCTATTAAATTAATATAGTTCTATCCAGTGATTCTGAAATGCCAGGAGGATTTACATCATCTTCCTCGGAGGGGTGGTGGTGAGGGAGAGAATATGACTGGCAGGACAGAAATCAAGAGGCAAAGTACTCCAAGGTAGATGCAATTGAGCTACAGTCTGGAAAAAAACTTACACAGAAGACAGATTTGCCATGATGTGTCACTAGCAATTTGTGTCAGTAGAAAACTGTAAAAGTTCAGGCAGAAGCACAGTTATCAGCAACAAGTCTGCTTCAAAACACTATCAGGAATTTTGTCACCAAGAAAACAGAAAAGGCAATAGGACCCATCTGCCTAGCAAATGGAGAAGGAACACTTGTTTTTGGCACCACACTCCATTGCTTCCCTGTATTTACCAGCAATCATGTCAAACAGTAGTGAGAACATGATAGATAAAGTCCAAATATGACAACTATCACACTTTATGATGATGTAGCAGAAAGCCTTACGAATCCAGAGTAGCTCAAGAAGAAACTGTAATCACAAAATGACTTTAGGAATACTACAAACTGAGCTCAGGTCACTTATTAGAAGCAGATCTTTAACTAGCACATTTTTAATTTTTAAGAAAAAGGTACTTTTTACAGAGACATAGCAGAATCCAAAAAAGTTAATTCTGGAAATCAGCGAGTTGAAGTACAAAATCAAAATTTTGGACATTAATTCTTAAATAGTATTAAATAGACAAAATGTGTCCCAGTCAGATCATTTATGAGATTATGTTGGAAAAATCTTGAATTCTTCAGTGCAAAAGCATTTTCTTTGGAGCAATTTCTAACACTGCCACCTGGGTCTACGTAATACTAACACACACCCACCTGAAAGAACCAAACAAGGGTTTATTTTTTTTAAAGTATTGAATTACTTACTAGCTGACCACAAGCTCAAAATGTACCATGCTGCGTTTACTGCAGAACACTAACATGCAAGTGACCATCTTCTCTTGCCTCCTCACAGCTCGTGCACAGCTGTCACCTGTCCAGCAAGGCCACCAACTAAGAATGTATACAGATACCAAATACGTCTTTTAACGGTTTCCCTACATTTAAAGGGGTTTTCCTGCTTGACTGTTTTTCATTACGTTCCTGATATTTCAGCCCCCAAGTGATGAGTATCTACAGCTCAGTTCTACCCAAGACTGCTCACGATATACCTGCTAGCACCAGTGCAATAACCAAAGCTTTTTTGCTTGCAAATCCAAGACTCCTGAACCATCCTCTGATGCAGAGCACCTTAGGATCTCTTGCATCATGTTAATTATGAAATACAGCAAATCAGGGAAGCCGTAATTTAGGAAGCTCTAGATGCACACTAGAATAAAATCTGCTACAGTCACATTACACAGTGTTCAAAGGATTGTCTCCATTCATAGAAGGAAAGTTCTCCATCTGAGCCTCCATAAACCTGTGAGAGTGTCTAATCTTTAGTACAATAGACTTTTTTAAAAGGTACTGGAACATTGATGTATTGTGAACTAAAGTGGACCAAGTACATAGTGAAATTAGTAAGTCAATATTAGCATACAAAATCTTGATTAAAAGAGCAAACTTGTTTCCATAAAACCTATCTAGCTCCATGCTAAAGTGGACTATGTTCACTGAAAAGGAAACTCAACATTTTTGTCTTCGTCATTCTGTGGCCTAAGTCCTATTTCTTAGGGAACAAAAAACATTATTTCCTTTTGTGGCAAGTCCTACAGCACCTAAGTATTGTGCAGACAAAAACAGCTTCACAACATCCTTGTAGAACACTTTTCAGGGTTTCTTGCTAAGCTTTTAACTATTTGTAATTACAGCCACTAATTCTGGTGGCTCAAACTGAGCCACAAGTTCAGAATACCTAGCTTTCTCATAAATGTGCATACGTTCAGTGTAGAGTGTGCACACAAAAAAACACAGTTGGCGTTCAATGTTCAGAAATTAACACTATCTGTGCTTCCCCTATGACAGGGGTTATGCAACTTGCATTTTGGATACAATTATCACTCCCAACATAAATATGTTCTAGGAGCACAAGACAGGATTCTTCTTAGAGTGAATGCACCTGATCAAGTACACTCTCGCTGTTCATGCTAGAGAGCATCTACCCCTTCACAAATAGGAGTAAAGCTAATCAGTGAAAATGAAGAAACAGAAATTCTACATGGCTCACAACTCCAAGAACCGGAATTACTCAGAGCATAAGGTGATTAACAGTCATTGTTTGACATGAACAAGCTTAGGTCTATTTTAAGAACAATTGTGGAACCACCATGAGAAAGTTTAAAGCTACCTTAGGAGCCTCCAAAGGAAATATCTAAGTCATTAGCTCCAAACAATCACCCATCTTAGACATGGTAACATTTGGACAGACCACAGAGACTACATCTGCCTGAATACAAGAAAATTCTGTCCAGCTAAAACCTAGCAGGAGCTGAAAGCAAAACTCGGAGTTGCTCGATTATGCAGACTATCCTAATCCTTTAGCATAGGCCACAATGAACAAAGTATTTATTTCAGTAGCTCAGTGTTGTCAAAAAGAACATACTGAAAAGCCAGTATGAGTCATCTCATTTCACTCAATACAAAGAATGGTTTAGGAAAGGGAGTAGAAAATAAATGTCTGGATGAGGCCTAACAGGAGTTATGTACTACAGGCTGCCCTATATATGTTGCATGGTGTATGGTGTGGTGGGGGGGGGGGGGTAAAGGGAGATAAACTTTTCGACCAGCCACTGTTTAAGTGCTGAAAGCTCAAAATAGTAGATTCACCTGTCTTGTCAGCAAGATGTTTAAGTCCCAAGGAGGTGGAGATTTCCAGACTGGTACAGAGAGGGTTATGACTACTTTCAGTAAGGCTGTCACTTCAGGCCGTAGGAAAGTGGTTGATTTTAGAAGCAGATTTGTAGATACTTTTCCATCAGTTACAGTTTTACTTAACAAGACATCTCTATGCTGTAATAAGAAGTGTGACTGGATATGCCTACATATGCAACAAATGACCATCCAGTTACTGCAGTTCACCAAAAAGACCATATTGCTGCAGCTTCATTAAGTATTTGCAAGAAGCTTCAGTACTTGCTCTAGTAACCTGAGCCGTGATACCTATAGTGCTGCATTTTCACTGCTGTGACTGTGTTGCCTAGATTAAAGCATCACAGGTATGTCCAGACATATTGCAATGGTGCCCTTCAATTCTGTGTTAGTATATTAATGAGCAAGGCAAAATTACTTCAAAAGTAGCTGAAGACAGAGGGGCTTAATGCCATCTCTTCTTAAGAATGCTCTCTACCTCATACATGTCCAGACAAAATCTTTTCCTTTCTACCTGTATAACAGCTCTGTACATCAGAACCTATAACTATACTACACTGGACTTTTTTCCACCCTCAAAACACTAAAATCAGATGCAATGACATTTCAGCCAATCAAGACAGAGAAGCATATGACCTCTGTTACTGAAAGAGTTAAGCAAGTTGAACTCCCTCAGCCTGCATTTTAATCATATTAGCTAAAAGCTAAGTTATGCAACTTAGCATAGGACAGTTTGTTGAGGTTTTGACTTCCAGATTATAAAGTTGTGCCACTAACAAATTTATTAAAAATTGCTGAAAACCCAAACCAAAATACACTTATGACCTCGAGGAGAGCAGCTGATACAGATAATTGTATTAGAGTCACAAACTATTTTAGGGAAGTCTAAGCAAGACAAAGGAGGGTAGAGAAGCATAATCTTGAAGGTTCCTTTATCCAGCATCAGTATGCAGAGAAACCTCCTTTACAGTACATGGCTCCCACTTCTGCTTATCAGAGACTTCTACACACAAGACTACATGTCTCACTATCTCACTGTCTACATGTATCACTATTCTGCATAAAGTAATAACCTCACATTAAATCCGCTTAAATAAGAGAAGAATTCTTGTATGCTATGGTGGTAGTCTACTCTGGTTGGAATATCATTTGTCAGCATAAGACATAAGGAATCTTTTTCCTAACTGACACTGTACAAACATCCATTTTACATTTGTGCTTTGAATACTTCAGTTATTCCCTTATTTTTTCATTACAACCATTTACTACAACACACTTACTGAAGAAGCAATCCCTAATACAGTAAAAATAATAAAACACATTAGACAGTGTACATATGGAACATATGGAATGAGTTACACTGTCACCTCAAGAGACTTTACAGTTCTTTAAACTGATCTTTAGTTTATCCAAGTAGTTTATCCAAGTAAAACAAAAGGCAGGAGGAGAGGACTGAACCAGAATAATTTGGATACATGGTGATGCAATGAGTAAGATACAGAACATGCTTCAAACAGCTTTGAGTTCTAGAAAGATCACCCTTCTGGTTCCAGGTCAAGAATCACACTTGCTGGAAGCTGAGGGAGTATTGAGAACAAAAAAAAGTTACACATTTCCCTCTTCTTACACTTTTAAACACCTGTTATTGGGATAGCTGGTATTTTGGCCTGATCTGGTAGGCTGTTCTCATGTAAAAATGCACCAGTTTTAGAAGTCTGTATTCCAGAAGTAAACCCTATTGTTCTCAGAAATTAGATAAGGACATCTGTAAAATTGATCAGTAAGGCTTTCTTCTACTTACATGTCTGTTACATTTGCACTGTGCACAAGATGAAACCTTTTTTAAAATTCAACATGGATTAGAACATATGAAATTCACATGCACTTACGTTCATTTATACATAAGCATACATATGAAGTTTAGGGAAGAAGCTCAACTCACTTATTTCACTGGCAACCTGGTCTAGTTTTTCCTTTGATCTACTGATTAGAACCACCTTCATTCCACGTCTTGCTAACTGAAACAGAACAGGAGACATAAGGACAATCATAAATAACAGCTTCCAAGTTAGCATTGAAAGAATTCATAATTTTCCAAACATTATCATAAGCTATTGACCAGCAGGTTTGAAAAACTACAATTTGAAATCGCAATATGAAGGGGAAAACTAGGACAAGCACTTGCATGCTGTTTCTTACTTGATTCCCTTCACATCAAATACACCATCTGAGCCACACTTATAAAGCAGAAAGCCAACAGCAAGTTTTATAAAACTTTCAAAATAATGCTGCAAGTCAGAGTGAAGTTATTACCCATAAATAAGTTCAAAACATCTAGTTAAGACATCCATTGTTACTCAAATATCTGTGCTGCAGTCACCCCAGCACTCAAGACTTCCTTCCTTTAGCAGTTTATTTAGGAAGGATTCAAGCTCCACCTTTTCTTTGTACTAATCATGGGCAAAAAGGTTAGTTTACTCATGGAGTTTTTAGGGGAAGCTATCCATATAATTTAAGCTGTTGTCACAGCATATCCTGGTCATCAAAACTCAACCTGCATCTGCAGATTTGTAACATAATTTAACAACCCAATTTAACAGTGTCTGCAGAAAGGCAGCTAGATATCCAAATTACTCAGCAATGGAAACAAACAATCTTTGTGGCTGTTATAAGTGCCCATTCCAGTGAAAAGTAAAAAGAATACATCCACTTGACATCCACAGTGTATAGCGACACTGCCTTTCAGACACTTAATATCTACATACAAAAATCAGGTAAGTTATCTCACTGTTCCAATAAAACTCATTCACAGCCTCAGAAGCAGATGGGAATGCATCTTAAAGGATATTTAAAACACCCACAGTATGGTAACTACCCTGAAGTGCTTGAATCTCACTTACCTTTCTAGCAGAAGTTACACAAACCAAGAAAGCTTCTTTCACAGAGAAGCATGATGAAGTTCAGTCACTAGGGCCCAAAGGTAATATATCCCATAGGGCCATATCACAAGGTTTGCATTTCACTGGCATAGGTGATGTTTAAGCAGAAGTAATATCATACTAGATCCCACAACCTTAGAACGAGGTTTGATGAAACTGAAGACACCCGCAACAGGAATTACTAACAAGTTCAAGCTTACGGGTAATTTAAACTTCCAGCTCAAGAATATCATCTAGTATTATGAGGATGATCGTCTAAGGGGTGAACACACCCACCTTCAGATAAGCATCTCACTTCAACAGCAAATATTTTCCCTTACTGAAAGGAATTCTTTTCTTCCTTGATTGACAGCTATCTAACATCCAAGCTGGCCGACTTATTTCAGCCAAGAGAGGGCAAACAAGATCATGGGTAAATTTCAATATACCTTGCACAGCAGTAGAG